ACGGCGATGCTCGGCAGGGCTTGATCCTGGGCTCCGGAGAGCCGGTGCCGAGTTCTTGCTCCCCTGACCCTCGGCGAGGGAAGAAGGTAGCAGGCGATTGAAATAAACTGGAACGGCCTCCAGGTGAAGGGCCTCGCTCGCGGGCTCGGTGATAACCGAGACGTTTCTGCCCCACCTCGGGCTGGGTCTTCATCTGGCGCGTTCCTGCTGCCGCCGGCCTGGCAAGCGGGGCCCGAGAGCAAGTGCTGTTCCTGGGGCCGCGGGAGTGCGAGGGTCTGGGCTGCCGTACTCCATGGCTGTGGGGAGACAGGGTTTGCCTGTAGGATGAGGGAAAGGCTATTGGGTTTTGTTCTTCATAGCCTTCAAAAATAGCTGGCCCTGAGAAACTGTTCATGTGGAGAATTTCCTCTGTGAGGCGCCCTAGATTTTGATGGGAGATGAGGCTGCTTCTCCTTTGCCTTTTTCTGAAAACCAGAAGGTGAATGCCTTCACCAAGGATGCATAGCAACACTTTTTTTTTTTTCTCAGAGGAGGCCGTGAGCAGTAACAACAAACTGTTGAACGCCTTGTTTTGCTGTGCAAAGTACGAAGTTTTGCAAGAGGTCAGAGGTTTGAAATCCAGGTGGTAGAGTTGGTTAGGCTGTTAGGTCAGGTCAGTCAGTTTTCTTTATCACTGGTTATATTATCATTTTTAAACAATTTTTAAACCTGCCTAACATGACTAGCAGTTCATGGCATCAAGAGTCTGTCAGATGGCTTTTTTTTCTGTGCAATTTGTAATATCACCAGATACTGTTCATGCTAAATCATAAAATCATAGAATAGCTTAGGCTGGAAGGGGCTTTCAAAGCAGGGCTGACCTTAAAGTTGTACCAAGTTGCCTGAGGCCTCCTCCAATGCAGACTTGAATTCAGAGTTTCTTTGCATGAGTATTCATATTCAGCTTCCTGAAAGGTAAAATGGTTGCAGTCAAACTGACCATATCTGTTGACTAATGTACAGGGCTCTCTCCTTGTAGAAGAGAGCACATGCTAAAGACTCCTCTTTCCAAAGTAGGCTGATTACAAGTAACCTGTGTGCAGAGCTGAAAGCCTTGGGAGGAATTTGGCAGGATGAAGCCTGTCATTGTGGTGCATGGTGGAGCTGGCCGGATCTTTAAAGAACGAGAAAATGGAAGTCGTGATGGTGTTGTCAGAGCTGCGCTGCGAGGTTATGGTATCCTGAAACAGGGAGGCAGTGCCTTAGATGCAGTTGAGGAGGCAGTGCGATCAATGGAAGATGATCCTCATTTTAATGCAGGTAATTTTTCAAGAAGTAAATGGGTTTAGAATTGTTGTGTATTTCAAGTGCTTTGCCCTGATGCTTCTGAAAATGCTGGCTTGCGTTTTCTTTGAATTATTGCAGTGGAGTAGATACTGGTGTCACAAAATAGTTTATTTCTCTGTATAATAAAATAACATGGTACGTACTGTAGTTTCTCGGGAGTACACTTAAGCAGATGAGTTACTCTTTTCTCGTTTTTCAGCGGTTTGTACCTGCCATTTCATTCATGTGGTACCGTATTACTTTTCTGTAAATCTTTTCCTGTTACTGTGCTGTGTATTCAGTTTTAAGACGTGGGCTTCGTAATGGAGGATCTGTTTAGTTAATGTTCATGTTTAAGGCAGTTGAATATAGCTTGTAGCAATGTTTAAGCCTTAACGCTGGACCTTTACCTATTGCCAGAAGAATACTGTTCTTGGGGATTTTAAGTGTTTTTCTCTTAATTAACGCTTGCAATTAGTGCTTTTTTAAATAATATTACAGAAATAATGCAGTAATGGCATATGAGTCATGCATTTATACAGTAAGGGTTCATAACTGGGTTTCCTAATGATAAATGTTAATTAATGTTAATAGTTGAATACTTTTCTCCTCTTTGTAAGACCTCAAATTTATTATTTTGATGAATTTCGGTGAAAATATTTCCCCACTCCCACCAAGGTATGTCAGGATGGACATGGAAAGAAAGTGTACCTGTCAGTGTTCAGTGTTTTAGATAACATAGCTATTAATCATGTGCACACTTTGTTTGCAGAGATTTTCTTGTTCCTCCTCACCTTGTAATTGAGAATTTGGGAGAGCTCTTAATTAATATAAAACTTTCAGTGTTTTGTTACTGACTTGGGTTGAACGCCTTGGTGTTTAGAGGATTCAAGCTGAAATCAAGAAGTAGACTTAGAGGTGTGGTGTGTGCTATTATATAATTAACACCAGAGTAGCATTCTCCCATTTAACTTCTAGTTTTATTTACATGTTGTGTGAAATCAGTCACTAGCCAGTGAGTAAATCACCAGAATAGAATAGAATAGAGTATTTCAGTTGGAAGGGATCTACAATGATCAACTAGTCCTACTGCCTGACCAAAAGTTAAAGCATTTTATTAAGGGTATTGTCCAAATGCCTCTTAAACACTGACAGGCTTGGGGCATCAACCACCTCTCTAGGAAGCCTGGTCCAGTGTTTCACCACCCTCTTGGTAAAGAAATGCTTCCTAACGTCAAGTCTGAACCTCCCGTGATGCAGCTTTGAACCATTCCCAGGTGTCCTATCAGTGGATACCCGGGAGAAGATCTCAGCTTCTCCCTCTCCATTTCCCCTCCTCAGGAAGCTGTAGAGAGCAATGAGGTCACCCCTCAGCCTCCTTTTCTCCAAACTAGGCAAGCCCAAAGTCCTTATCTGCTCCTCACAGGACAGCCCTTTCAGCCCTTTCACCAGCTTTGCTGCCCTCCTCTGGATGCATTCGAGGACCTTCACATCCTTCTTAAATTGTACTGCACACAGTACTCAAGCTGGGGCCGCGCCAACGCTGAATACAGCAGGATAAATCACCTCTTTTGACTGGCTAGTTACGCTGTGTTTGATGCACCCCAGATGCAGTTTGCCCTTTTGCCTGCAAGGCTGACTCCGATTGAGCCTGCTGCCGACTGGCACCCCCAAATCCCTCTCTGCAGGGCTGCTTTCCATCCATTCCTCTCCCAGTTAATACTTGTGCCCAGCGTTACTCCATCCTAGGTGAAGAATCCAGCATTTGGAATTGTTAAATTTCATCCCGTTGTTCATTATCCAGATACCTCTGCAAGGCAACTTGTTGCTCAGGAGTCAACAGCACCTCCCAGTTTGGTATCGTCAGCACACTTGCTAATGGTGCATTCAACTCCTGCATCCAGATTGGTGGTAAATATATGGAACAGGACTGGCCCTAGAACTGAACCCTGAGGAACACCGCTGGAAATCACTATCTATTTGGCCTTTGGCTCTCTTTATGCTTCTGGATTATGGCTCAAAATATCTCTCTGGTGAGAGAATTTAGGTTTGCTATTTTAAAAATGCCAGCTTGTTCAGGGCAGGAAAAAAATTCCAATTCTTGAGAAGCATCTCTGCAGTGATGTTTGCCTGACATTGGGAGTCAAATGTTAATGTGGAAGCAACTTCCATATAAATTTCAGTTTAAAGATTGTTTACATCTCTTTCTTATTCATTCCACATAAACGATTGCATACTTTCTTGGATTCTTGTACACTACTTCTGATGGTTCTGTAAAGCAAAATTATTTAGATGGGAAATATTTTAGCGCAGCATGACTCTTGGTGATGAAAGCTTACTTTATAATGATCTGTTTAGGCTTACTTATTTAGCTTGTATACAGTAGTCTGAAGCATTTAGATGCTTGTCCAATATAAATAGATACCATAACTAAAAATATTCTGTATTTTGCATACAAGCTTTCTTTTAACCTTTATGTGGGATCTTGTCCCTAATACTGCTTTTTCTGAGCTATGCTCTCTCATAGTGTGCTGTCATTGAACTGACACCTGTGAAGAGTGCATGCTCCTCAAAATGATCGTATTGTTTGAGGATAGGGTCTTAGACTCTACCGTATCCAATGGCTGGTATACAGTCATAACTTAACATTTTGCTTAATGTACAAAGTGCAATACGTGTTTGTGACACACTTTTTCATGGTCCGAGGTCACATTTATCCTTACTGAAATATATGCTGAATTATTTTTTGTCTAAGGGTGTTTACTTAAATTTATTCTAGCAATATTTATACCTTGTTTGTAGTATATTAAATGAGCAATTTTTAGCAAAATTTGCTTAGACGGGACTTGGGCCTTAAGCCCTTGTTCAAGTTTGACTATGCTGATCTAAGTAGAAAGTACTCTGCTAATCACTTACAGATACTTCTAATTGTATTAACACTCATTAGATACAGCTGCTCTCAGTAGCTGGCAAAAAATGAGCTGAAAGCTATGTGAAGAGGGCCCTGATTGGAGTGGCTGTTTAAAACTCACGGTGTGGTATTTATCTTTGTAAACAAAAAATCAGTTTTACTGTGATATGTTCTAGGAAAACACAGACATTGCTAGGAGACAACACTAAATATTGGGAAGAATGTGCATAACAATCAAGTCATGTCGTTTTTTGAACAATAAGATTTAGCCATGCTGTGTATATGCATCTTGATGTGGGCTTGGTGGAAGGGCTCAGAAGCTATACCATTGTCTAAAACTGCCATTTTAGTGACTTGTGCAGCATAATGAAGTCATCAAATTCTGCTTGTGATGGGAAGTGGCCTTGGTTATGCTTCCTTCACATGATCTTTGACTAGTAGTATTAACTAGCTTGATGTGAATACTCAGAATATAAGAACTGTCATTATAGTGATCCTTGCATACTCTTTCCTCCTCAGCCTTTGCAAGACAAGGGGACAGATCTGTCTGTAGATAGAAGGAATTGGAGTATTCTTCTCAGTACCCCTGCTGTGATTTGGCTAATGTCAGACATGTTCGTTATTTGTGTCCCCTTAGACTTCCTGTCTTCTGTTGTCTCTCTGTTTTTTTTTCCCTGCCCTTTGCTTCACAAGTGAGCCAAACTTTTTTTCAGTGCTGCTGCCAATGGATACCATGGCCTCAGAGGCAGGTAGTCCCTACCCATCGTGGTAGTTCCCTTCGTGCTGGAAGGCAGGTGAAAAGGCAGTCTGTAACCACAGGAAGAAGGATTCATCCTACCTCATATAACCTGAAGTACCCAACTTTGGCATTGTGTACGGTGGTTAGTGGAATGGGAAAGGATGGTTGTACAGCTTTCTAAGGCAAGTGGAATGAATTATTCTTAGATGGCACCTGTCTCCACTGACCGTAAAAGGAGGCTTTTGTAGGACACTGCCTTTGACTGCAGGAACTGTCCAGAACTGTTTTCTGCTCAGGAAATTTTAGAAAATTCTAAAATGTACCACGTGAGACGTGTCCAGTAGACATAGGATATAATTAATGCAGTGATGAAGGAGGCTGATAGAGCTTCCCCTGAACCATGGTTCTGGTCACTGACACTTGAGAAGGGGTTACTCTAGTTCTAGTGGGAGTTCCGTCATCATGGGCTAGCGATACTGCCTTGTCAAAGAAAGCCAAAAGAGTATGGCAGGGCTTATCTAAGAAAACAAAGAAGACTTTCTCCTTATACCAGCATAAAGGAGAAGCTGGAAGAATGATGTTAACGCGAGTGGCACAAGGAAGTTACTTATAAGCTTTCCACAGATCAGTGTAGTCTAGAAATTAGCATGTTGTGAGTGATGCAGGACTGAACTCTGGAATAGCTTATGCAATCAGGAGTGGGCAAAAAAATAACTCTTTGGGGGCATATTGTGTGTGGCAGGGGAAGTTTTGGACGTTACAGGGAGGCGATTACAGGATTTTGTTGCCTCCTTAACAGGGGATTTAACTTCATGTATTTCAGGTCTGAAGTACATTGGTATAGAAGTCTTATGTCAACAGGTATTAACAGTGGTTTCTGACCTGCTTTAATGTTGGTTTAACAGAAATAAAAAAAAACCTGGTTTAAAAAAAACTCTGTACAATGTTCAAGTCGTTCTACCTGAGCTACTCTGTAAGTCTGCCATGTTTTGTTTTGGTTTTTTTTACTTCTCTTTAAATTTAGTTTTCTCCATCCTTACCAGCAAGGCTTGTGGAATTGATGACTTACAACCAATTATTCCCCTGTGATACAGTTATTGGCGTTGTTAAAAAAAAAAAAAAAACTATTTGCATTGTCTCATCTTGTATCTCATTAGTTTTCAATTAGGTTAGTGATAACACCGATAATTATAGAAGAAAATAACTACCCAACATTTTATTACTTGATTTTTTTGTTTTTCAATTCCTTCATCAACTGCTTTCATTTGGTAGTGAAGAACTGGTTATTTCAAGCTTTTGTTACACTAGTGAGTTGACACCTTTATTCTGCTCCATCAATTTGGCAGTTTCTTGGAATGCTATGTGACGTTAATCTGTTGATAGGATTGAACACTACACTATTGTAAGAACTGGAAAGGTAAAATAGTTGTATGTGCACTTGAAGTGATATGGGGGATAAAGAATTCTGTTCATGATTGTTTGTAACTTTAACTTCCATACCTAGTATATCACTTTGGATGGGATCGGAAGTGTGTTTTTCATCTTATAAAAATAAAACTCACTTTTAAAGTAGATGTTGTATCCTGTGAGAATTCTGTTAATGGTTGGATTTTGTGGTTATACTCAGCAGTGTTTCTGCTGTTTTGTTTGTATTCAGGAGATACTTTCAATAAGTCAGACAACAAACTGGGAAGGTTTGCTTGATGAGATATAATAATTGAATCACCTGATGGTTAACTCTTAATGACTTTCCTCTTTTTCTTTCCTCCCTGATTTTTTTTTTTTTTTTTTTGGTCTTTAGGCTTTGGATCTGTTCTAAATGAAAAAGGTGAAGTAGAAATGGATGCCATTATCATGGATGGAAAAAATTTAGACTCTGGAGCAGTATCTGCAGTTAAATGTATAGCAAACCCAATCAAACTTGCTCGACTTGTCATGGAGAAGGTATGCTGAATATGTACTTGAATATGAAGTTGTTTTCCCCTTAGAACTTCATCCAGTATATTGATACACCTCAATGATGATGTTTGTGTAGTGCTTTAAAGCAGGAAAGAAAGGAGAAATAGATGGTAGTGTTTGGAAACTATGGTCAGAACCATGAAGAACTTTTATTTTAAGGGTTTTTGAATGGTGTTTATTAAAAATAGCATTCTAAGGAAACGTAAGTTCTGCCATGCAGTTGGAAGATGAGGATAAATTGGCCTATACATGGCAATATTTTGTAGCTCCACAGCTGGTGTTGAAAATTTTTAGGGGGTGCTTTTTGAAGAGTTTTTATGCTGTCACGGAGTCTTCTGCTTGATCTTGCAAGATTAAAGTTGTATAACATACTGTTGACTCTGCAATGTCGTGTTTGGCCATGTAGCACAGCCTTATGTTGTTCTAGGTGGCCTTGTCCATTGTGGCCTCATTAGATGATAGCCTTAGTGCAAAGTCGTGGTCTTCCAACATTAGCATTATGTGATGGTGACAGGTTTTCCAAGAGAATCAGACTTAATCAGGGCAGCAAAATGATTATTACTTGACCTTCTGTGTAAAATCAATCCCACCTTACTAAGAGATCCTTCTAATGTCTGCCACAGCAGACTTCTCTTGTTTTTCAGAAATGGTGCAACTGGTATGGTTCAGGATGGAGTAGGTCCTTTGTGTGATACCTGCATCTGTTTTACCATTACTAGACTGTGACGGTTATCAAAAGGTTTGCACTGTATTTGGAGTTTAAATTTTTCATCCTGCTAGTGCAGCTGCCCCATTGTTGAAAAGGGTTCATTTTTGCAAAAACAAAGAGGGTTTATGTTTCTTTAACCTTTTGAAGTGACTTTTGAGGAAACAAAACCTCTGCTGGTGATCTATAAAGATGACTGAAATGTAATTTGTCCTCAAGAGTGTCCAAAGAAGACAGGAATTATTTTTGCCCTTAATTGGAGGATAGTTCTGCTTTTAAAATCAGAACTTTTCATGAAAGTATTTAATATAATTTTAAGTATTTATTATAATATATTTATACATATTAAAGTATTTAAATACTTTAGTGAAATGTATGTCTACTAGAAAACAGTGTTAAAACTTGTGATGAATAAGCTTTTTGATCCTTCATACGGGATTTATTCTGTCATTTAGTTAGAACAAATAAATAAGTATAGCTGGTAGACAGCTTCACGAGACCAAATTTTCCAAAATTTGAGAATGCAGGTGGAGGGTTGGGGGAGAGATGTCTTCTAGCATGTTGGGGGGAAAGTAATATTTTATTATTTCTTTTCTGTAGATAATTTCTTTTAATGCTCATTCTTCAGTTCATCTTCCAGAATCACTGGTTTTTTTGTTTGTCTTCTCCCTGACAAAATCCTTTTAAGTCACCAAGAATAAAGTCAAAACAATATTGTTGATTTTTGAGAACATAACTTTCCAAAGTATTTTTTAAAAAACAAAACAAAAATTCTCCATTGTCTGTCTTGTCTATTATAAGGTCTTTCTCATCATTATGTGGTGCTTCTGGTGTTCAAAAATGTTGAGGCTAAATTTGAAAGGAAATCATAAAATCCAACTGTACAGGACCAAGTATAACGGTGTAGCCCTAAACCCATGAAATTTTGTGGTAAAGTGTATTACTCTTTGCCTAGCTGAAAAAAAATTCTGTGTAGATGACAAAGGTCAAATGTAAATGTTGCTTGATATATCTTGAGGTGAGTTTCTGCTGCTTCTCCATCAGACATTGTAAATGGGAATACCAACTGATGTTTCTTTTCTGTTCATCCTGGACAAGAATTTTGGGACACAAACACAGGCTATTTCACAGTAATTTTCAGAGTGTATTTTGTTTTGTTTTACTGTGGATAATTAAAAATATTTTTAACTCTGTGACCCATGGGTAATAAGGCTGTAGTTTTCCTGGGGTCCTAAGCACATTAGGATGCTTATTTCCCAGTGGTTTTGAGATGCCTCACTACCTTAAGAAATTTTGAAACATGCAGCTCCCCAAAATAAAAAAAAAACCCAACCCTCCCCACCTGCTTGTAATTTTCTGTATTTCCATTCCTATTACAGAACAATATGGGCTCCATCTGGTGGCCAGAGTAGCTCTTCTAGATCGTTGTTGCGGACATTTATCCTGTGTGCTGTCTCATTCTCACTGGGCTCAAACTTGTCCATATTCATGGGATAGAAGAAAGGAGGGCACCAGAATAATTTCTGTTCGTGATTTGCTATGCCGTTGAACACAGCAGCCTCTAGAGATGGAAGGCTTTTAGTATGTTAACTAATTAGTTCAACAAATCCTTGAGAAAGCAGTTAAATTCCTGTTGAATTATTCCTTTTTGTAGTGAACAAAAATAGAATGATACATTGGAATGCCTTTTTTTTTCCAGTGGTGCATATAATCCCCCTCATCTCCAGCACTTCATTAGATGGCCATCTCATGAACATCAGAGCACTGATTCATTGGTATATGCGAATTGTGTATATGTTTTCCCCTACACCCCTTTACATTAGACAAAGGAGAATTCAGCTTAGAACATAGACTTCTCAGAGCAAAGGTGCAAAATTTTCCTGTTCTCTACACACTGCCAGGATTGTTAAATGAAGAACAGTGCAGCCAGCTGCAGAACTTTGGGGGATTTTCTCTTCTGTGCTTCCCATGAAATTAACTAAACTTGCCAGCATTTGTTGTTTGTTAGTAAGATCTCTGGAACCCTTTATTTATTTTGTTTATACTTTTGGATTACTTTGTATAAATGTGTCCCAGAAAAATTAGGCACTTAAGAAAGTTAGCAAACATATTCTTGAAACTGTAGAAGAAGGAGGAGACAGAAAAATATGCTTTTGGGTTGTTTGGCAATATTCTGCCAGCTCTTTTGATTGACAAGATATATTGAAGAGAAAAACAAATCAAATTCTTCTGAAGATACCTTCTCTTTGGTGAGGACTGCAAAAAAACAAACCAAAACCTATCATAGAAGCTTATTTCTCTGTACACAAGTATTTCTTGTTTGTGCAGCTCAGGAAGGTGGGTATGTTATCAGAATCATATGGGAGGGAACCCTTTGAAAAAGTTTTAAGATATAACTTCCATTTTTTACAATAAAACTTTAATTTTGTTAACTTATTTAAAGGATGATATAGAGTCTTAATTGCTGGAGAAAGCAAGTGATGGAGGGGACAGCCTTCTGATACAGATAAAGCCAAAAGTTCAATCTCTTCCCTAAAAATAAAACCAAAAAAACCCCAACTAAAAACCAAAACCGTTTCAGTTACTGGATCGTGTGTTTCTGGCGGTTAAGTGGCAGTGGCAGAGGGGGGCAGTGTTGCCCAAAGAAGTTCCCTTTCAGGTGGGAAGAACAATTCAGCTTTGTTAGAAATAGGTAGGTCTTTTACTGTCGGGTAACATCACTCAGAATGTAAGCCTACTGTCCACTCTTTCACATGTATAGAGGACTTCTTCCTTGTAACCTGTACTCTTGTTCCCTAAAGGAATACTCTTATGAACTCAGGACTTAATTTGACAGTGGAAGGACATTTAAATTCTCAAAGATGTTTGATGTCAGGGCCACCACATGTCTGAATGATGATTCAGGAATGTTTCCAGAGCGTAGTTGCTTCCTGCTTGTGTAAGCAGCTGAAGGGGTTAGTGCAGAGTCTGTAATAGGCTGAAGGAGAGCTTACTGTCTGTGGCTTGGGAAGAGGATCTGCTTGAATCCTTCAAAACAATGCAGGGCTATGGGTTGGTCATGGTAGCGATTGCTTGTCATTGCTTTAGAAATCAACAGAAGCTGATGGTTTGCATCATCTTAAAGTCTGAGGTTTTGAGACTCTACGTGTCCAAGAGAATGCGGCATGACACAGAAATAACCAACTTCTGTCATCCTCGCTTCGGGCTGAGAGCAGGCTATGTGCCACTGTGGTCTCCTGCTTGGCTCTGCAGGCCTGCTGCGTCCAGTAGCATGTGGTTCTACTTTTTGGACCTCTGCCTTTTGGTACCTTTGGGCTGTGCTGCTACATGAACATAAAATCTTGCTTGAAGTTAGCTGCTGTGCTCTGAAATGACTCCATACTATATAGACAGACCACCACGCCTCCAAAAATTGCCTGGGACTCTGATGAGCAATTAGCAGCCATGTAGTGGTCCAAGAAGTTGGTGCTTATTTTTGGACACAGATTTAATTAAAAAAAAATCAGATTTTAGAGCTCCTATTAAAGTATAAGGATTCATGAAACAAATTTATCTGGCAAGTTTCTTTAAAATAGGAATTAACCAAGCTGTACAGAGTTTGAAGTATGGAATTAACTAAGGTTGTTGACTTAAAATCTGGTCTAAGTGCTTCGCTAAATGAAGGAATCAAAGTAGAATTTCTGCAAATGTTGTTAGAGCAAAATTTTTTTGTCAAACCTGTGAGAAAAATATTCTGTTCTTAAATTTGAAAATCTGGGTCTAAGAGTAGCAGCTAGTTGAAGGAACTATTTAAAATAAAATGGTTCAGCTGATACTAAGAAACATTTTAGTGTATGATATTTACATTATTGGGTTATTTTACTCTTATGGGATGTAATACCTTCAAGCAGAACAGGAATTTATTTACCATTCTTTCCTTCAGAGTAAATTCCTTCTAGATCTCTTAGTTAACTGGACAAAACAGTTAGTTAAGTAATGATTTGGTGATTGACTGGAAACAACACAAAGAAGTTGCATGCAAAAGAGCAAATTTACCAGTTTTTCTTTTCCCATTATAATAACTATTAAATAGATAAATGCAATTCTTTTCTACTAATGATGAAAGATTGTATCTGTGTTTCAGCAAGCTGAAATTTTTTTTAGCTAATGGAAGAGCATATAGGTATAGAAATCTAAAAAGTTCAAAAATAAAATTTGGAATTTTCTTTGTGTGGATACTTCTAAAAATAATGAGTAATTATACAAAACTGCTCAGTACAATATAAAACAAGAATTGTTAAGGTATCTCTTGTCTGTCTTCTGCAGACGAAGCACATGCTGCTGACTGACCGTGGTGCACACCTGTTTGCTCAGGCCATGGGTATTCCTGAGACTCCAGGGGAGAAACTCATAACTGAGAGATCCCAGGAGAGATGGAAGAAGAACCTTGAGCCAGATTCCAACCCTGAAGAGTTTCAGAAGTAGGATTTTTGTATAATATTTTTTCTTCTTAAATTCAGGTAATTTAATTTGTGCTATCAGTTTAAAACAAACAAAAAACCCCAACCAAACAAAAAAACCCCAAAGCTTGAAGGCCTGTATTCAGACTTGAGAATACTTCAGTTCTGAGTGTTACATGGTTTGACAGTCTTCACAGTATGTCCTCAGTGGAAGTGATGAAAAATTAAGCTTTCAATGAATTTGCTCAAGTGTAAGTGTCTGGAACAAACTTTAACAAATTTGTTGATGCTTAAGAAGATTGTGGGTCACTTTGACATAGCATAGGTTTTGTGGCATTAGTGGAGGACAAAGTTAGAACTTGTTATCGCTCTTAAAATCACCAGTTATGGAAGTGCATAGAGCAGCTTTAACAAGCAGCAGGCATCACTGTGCATAGTTCTTTTCCAAAGAGGCCGTGTGACTTTAAAAAAATCCACAGTCCACATTTTAAAACAAGTCCATGAAAAAAAAATTATTAAAGCTGATCTTGGTTAAGTAGATGATCAGATTTGCCTTTAGACTGGATTAGGTAGTTAAATGACATAAGATTTTGACCAGTAACTCCTAAGTGCTGATTATGGCTGTTGCTTGTTGTAGATAGGAATGAAAAACTTGACCAAGAAGTTCAGTTTAGTGGTGGGTGTGAAAAGAGGTGCTACTAGATGGTATTGCACAATAGTAAAGCAAAACTCACTTGAAAAATAAGGAAATCTCATATAAAGTAGAGAGGAAGGTAAGGTGGACAGGAGAGGAAGGAAAACTGTCAGGTGTCAAAAATGTTCTTTATGCCTGTGCGGTCAACATAAATACGAAATTGTTTTGAGCTTCCCTTTGTACATCAATGGTTGTGGCATAGGCAGACACTGTATTACATTACATAAACACAATATTACATGTTGTTCACCTGTTCTGTGAAACAGTAGTAATGAGAGAAGCAGAGCTGAAGATCAAAAGGAGAAAATTTCTTCTGTGGAGAAAAGGAGAAACTTTCTTCACAGAAATCCATGAAATGAGGCTATAAACTACAAGCTATATGTTACTTTCAGTAAATTGCTAGAAGGAAAAAGAAATTCATGAGGCAAGGGTAAATAATGGCCTTGTAAACGAAGTGAAGTTGTTCCTTGACCATAAGGTCTCAGTCATAGTTCATCTTGTATCCAACAGAAGTTTTCTTTTGATCCATGATCTATTCAAGGACTGTGTGATATAATTAATTACAAAGCATTTTGAGGATGACGTAGTCCCTACTGCCACTTGGTCTCCTGAATATGTAAGTTGGAATGGCAGGACATCTGAGTCTCCATTCATTCTTTATAACTGCTTAATTTTTTTTTTTTCTTATAACACTGTTAGGCATCTTCAATTTCAGCATTGTCTTGTTCTGAAATATATGATAATAGAAGGGTTGTGCATTTCTGAAGGGCTCAAGACTTTTTGTTGTCTTAGCCACACCGTTCTTTTTGTGACAACCAGTGCCCAAACCATCAGCATTAATTCACAAAGTTGAAAACAGGTCCTTTTTTTAATGGAAGCCCATTTGTTCCTGCATGGCATGTGGAATGTTCTTTTTCTGTGTTATGTCCACAGTGATTATGCAGAAACTTGCCTGAGGCAAACAGGCAGAAGGTGAAATAGTGCTAGTCAGAGGTAACATAATACCAGATCATACTGGGAATTTGAAGGTTGCTGTGTACTTTACTTCCAGGCCTCTGGTCCTATTAATGATGGAAACCTTGAGGGTTAACAGCTTTCCAAGCAGAGTTTGGTGTCTCCAGAAGAGAGACCTTTCTCTTCTGCTGGTTTGAAGCCTGCATTCATTTATGTTAAAAGCCTATGATACCATTGCACATACAACATGGCATCTTGTACACATTTTGCTGAGAATAAGATGTGGTTTGTCTTATTTTCAGTCTCTCACTCAAAGATTCTGACCATACCTTTGCCACGAATTGCTAGAGATTGCCTGAGAACCCCACAGAAAGGGGGTTGAGTCTGGGTATAAAGTAGTAGACGGGCTACTAGTCCCTCTGTGAAACACAGCGCAAGAGTAACTCAAAGAGGTATTAACTAAAGGGACCCTGACAGCATTTGACAGAAAACCCTACATCTGATGCAGTACTAGGAGATAAAATAGCAGATGCTTTATTAGTTGAATGGGAATGGAAAAGTACACATAACTTCATGGGTACTGGAGAATGAAAGATTTAGACAAAAGGGAATGAACAAATCCCGGTCATCCATTCTGTATCACAGTATGTGCCGTATATAGGAATAATTCTTGATTGAAAAAAATCATTACTACTAATAGCATCTTCTGGTATACTACAGGTACTTGTTGAGATTCTTACTACTATCACTAACTAATGATAGATTATTCTAATATGGAATCTCTGCTTGGACAGTTTTGCCTGCCTTGGTAATGTTTCTGAGTCAACTAGCTGTGCACCAGGTTGTTTATATCTTCTTTGCCTTTGTTCTGAAGATGAACAAAGAAAACATGTGACACTGAAGCAATAAAAAAGTTTAAAGGGACAGTAAGAAATAGAGTGCAGTTGTCTGTTTGTTCTACCGCAGATAAGGTTATGTCGGATACATTCACTTTGTTATTTATCAATGATTGAGCTCTTGTACCTGAACAGAGAGCTGCTGCATATGTGATCTGTGTATTCTCATTATTCTCAGAGTTGCTTAAGGTAAATACATACCTAGGAAAATGTACATCTGTATGCACCTTCCTTAATTTCTCCAGAGCGTCTAACTTTAGTTGGTTGAAGTGTGCCACATGGGTGTGCAAGGGAGTGCTGAATTTACCAATATTCTTTTCAGAAAATCATTTGTAACAGATGGATGGGTGGGAAGCCCATCTGCACCATCATACCAGTTTGAGATGAGGTCTGTCTCCACATAATGTCAGAGCCTGTGATTCATCAGTCGACTTTGAATTGCTGTGAATGAAGTTTAGGGACTGACAGTATGATATTTTTACGTATGCTATTTTACATAAGGAGGGAACTGGAAGTTGGGACTGTGGGTTTCATGGTACACAAAGGCTCTGTCTGACTTAATTAGCTCAGATTTTAGGTGGTTACAGAGAGACCCTCACCAGTGTGCAGGCAACTTCCAAAGGTATTCCTGTTCAAGCCACCTGTTGGGCAGTTCCATGAAGGAGTGGTACAAATTCTTATCCTGTGTGGAGGAATTTAGATTTTTTTTTTTTATATAAACTGGTTTATGTTGCTACATGAATTGCTAAGATTGGAATGTGTGTATGCTTAAACTGTTGCTTCTCAATACTGTCTTGCTTCTCAGTGCAGCAACTGTTACAGTAAGTTACAATAGCCTTTTTTCTCCGAGTATGAGTACACATGTATGTGTTCAGCAGCCTATTATATCTGACTTTCCTGTGCTGAAGAAACGAGGAGTAGTTGAGACTTCTGTTTTCTTCGCATGAAGATTTTTAAGCTGATGTGCGGTTTCAACAGATTCTACTTGCCAACTGACTTAACCCTCAAGATTGCTTAGCTACAAAATACAAAGATGAAAATATGTATTAATGATGTGTTGTGAACAATACTAGTTGAAAGGCACAAAAATAACCTTTTTTTTTTTTTTGTGTGGCATTCAAACATTTAGGGGAATAAGGAGGAGGAAAGAGGAGGAACCGGAAGGACGGAAGGAAATGATTCATAACATTACTCTCCTTTTCTGTATTCACTTGTTTATGTGCATTGTCATTAATAATTCTGGTTAATCTTCCATTGAGACAGTGGAGACAATTCTTGTGTCTCTGAGTTGCTGCTTAGGGGGAAGTTGCGTGTCAGGTCTCACAGCCAACAAACTACTCCAGAACTATGATGGGTAGAAATACTTCTGCCCTGTTTTTGTTTTGTGGGCTTTTTCCTCCCCAAATCAAAGTTTCCATGCTATGAAGGTAAACGAGTCATGGGGGAGATTAAAAAAAAAAACAAGAGTGTTTTCTATTCTATTAAATAAAAAGTTGTGGGAATTGTTGCATATTGCTCATTATTTTTGTAATGAGAAGCATGGTAGAAAATAGCTTTATGATGAACAGTTAATTTTTTTGTGGTAATCTTTTTTAAAGCTACCTAGAAAATAAATGAAACATGCTTTGGCAGGTATGCTTTAATTCTGCCTAATTTTGTGAACTGTTTTTCTTGGCAGAGACCTTGGAACAGTCGGTGCTGTTGCTACAGACAGTGAAGGAAATGTAGCTTGTGCAACATCCACTGGTGGACTCTCCAATAAACTGATTGGCCGTGTTGGTGACACAGCATGCATAGGTATGAGATGTGGGGTCTTGCCTCTTGTTTTTTTGAAGGTATCTCATTTAAAAAAAAAAAAGTATCACACACATTCTCCATTTATTAGTGAAATGAAACATAAATATCAGTACATCTGAAATGGAGGTCTAACATTCAAATGTATCAGAACTCCTTAACACAACATGGAGATTGCAAGTAGGCATTAGGGGTAGAAGCGTGGTGCTATCACAATCATCCAATGCTTTTGTGTCTGGAACATGGGGATTAGAATTTGTTTTTTCTGTCCTTTCTTGAATGCTAACTTTTTTTTTTCCTGTGTTTCCTTTCTGTTCATTCTAATAAAGCTCTCCTTTTGTACATGCATGCTTACAGCTAAGTCAAAAATGTAGCCTGCTCCATACTAAGGCCCTGCTTTCTTGATACTTAAAGAAGTAGGTGTAGTTGTAATTAGTGTTCATTGTATCATTGAGCCAGAATTGTAAAATGACTGGCAACTTTGAGTAAATTCCTGTTCTTAGAGAGCCCTGATAAGACTGCCTTAGAGCTAATAGATGCAGTGTGGAACAGAGGAAATATTTTAAGAGATCTCTTATCCAAGTATAAAGAGACACTTGAAATCCTTTCCTCAGACTTCTTCCTCTCATGGGACAGACTTGCCATTTGATTGCTTTAGGGTTCTACCATACAGTTGGGACTTGGAAAATAATTATTTTTAGTAAAATGTGTTCCAAACTCAAATAGGATTGCTGTTGGCAGTACATGATTGTTACAGAACTAATACTAACTTTTTCTCACACCCAAAGTTGCTAATATTTTGATACCAATCACAGTCTGCATTTTGACTGTGATTTTCATCTGGCGTTCTGACTGTAAATACCCTTCTCTTCAATAGATCATATTCAGGGCTCCTATAGTATGGAACACATCTGTGAAGGACAAGTGAAACTGGGCACTGTGGAGGGTATTGCTTGCAACTTTTGCTCTTACTAGACATCTGTAGGATTGGATACAGAAATGCTAGCTGTCCTTTTAAATGTTAGAACCTTTTGAAAGGGGGCTTTGACAGACTGATTGTGGCAGTGTTCTTCCACGTGTAAATTGGGGTCTGTTGAGAGGGTCTGATCTGATAAAAACAGTACAGAAGGGAAGAAACTTTCATTGCTTTTCTATGCCTCTTTCCCCCAGTGCCTTTTTTGTAATGCTGTAGTATGCTCCTCCCCAGCTCCTGGGAAATATTTTTCTTAGGAGATGTGCTACAAACATCAGTGTTGAGCAAGCAGAAGCTTGGTGGAGAACAGGGTGTGGAATGTGCCAGCAAAACAAGGATGGGAGGGAAGCAAAAGGGGTGGGAGGGTAGGAGTTCAACAGAAGAAACACTGCTTGTGGTGAGGACTTGCAAGATTCTTCAGGGTGCTTTGTGATGCTTCACTAGAGCGCAGGCGCTTAAAATCTCTTACCTGCTTTTGCTCTTGCAGGTAAGATCCCTTCAAACTTTGGTCAATTCACAAATGTCCCCACAAGATTTTCCTTCGTATCTTCTCAGTTGATAATGTTGTGTGACCTAGCCATGGCTACCTTGCTGATCCCAAATATACCATCCCTTGCTGTTCTGGAAAATATTTTTGCCTGTCCCTATGGAGTGTTGGCCTGCTCCTGCTTCTCGTGCCACAAGCAGATCACTAGTCTTCTAGCTCTCATAACTTGGCAACTGATTTCATCCAGCTGTTGTTGATCATATATTTTACTTTTCAAACTGAGGCAGAAATGAGAAAGAAGTTAGTTAATGACATTTTGCTCCCAGAAATGCACAGAACTGCCGGACCTTTAGGAAGAAATGTTCAGTACTTTTTAAACAATGCAGAGCTTGTAAATTGTATTACAGAATATTGCCACCTTTTTTTTTTCCCCCCTCTGAAAAGGAAGTGGAGGGTATGCTGATAACCGTTCTGGTGCCACATCAACCACAGGACATGGGGAGAGCATTATGAAAGTGGTCTTAGCCCGACTGATCCTCTATCACATGGAGCAAGGTATATTCCAAACTTCCTGTAAGCTGAAATAATGAGGATAGGAAACATTGCCTAATGATGGGTTTCAGTTTATGTGCTATCATCCTAGAACAGTTGTCAGAAGAGTTGCTCCCAGCGGCGTGGATGGGTCACCTGTCTTTAAAAACAAAAGAAAGCGCTGAAGTATTAATAAAGCTAAAATAGCCTTATGTGGACAGAAATATTTATGCTGCTTGATGTTTAATCATGCTTTAGATCAATGTACATTGAAAGACATTATTGTCTACTTTGTTTAACTGAAGTTCTCTTTTTTTTTTCAATTTTAAACTAAAATTTTATGAACAAAGAAATGGAAAATGAGTGAAACCAAGATATTTTTAAGGAAGCAGTAGGGGAGGGCTAGAGATAGATAATCAGAACTGAAATAAGAAAGCATAGAATATCACCTTTCTAATAAACTGTAATGGTCTTTATTTTAACAACTCTGATTATAGCAACAGCAATGCTTTTAAGACATTTTAACTGTGATTTAAATTTTCATTTTGTTTTGGAAAATGTGCTAAACTGACTGGGTGGGTATGTGGTAAACAGCTGACACAGTATGTCTTACGTGACTGTAATATAATCTGACTGTGGGTGACCCTTGGGAACTTTACCTTCATGAGTTAGTCTGTCATCTAAACCCTTGATTATATTACAGCCTGTAAACATAGACAGACAACATACTTGTATTGCATGCAGTTGAAGAACCATTAATATAGATATCACCACTATTTTTAGAGAGCCATAGCTTTTGAGCAGTACAGTGTAACTTGCTTTCAGATCAGTTGAACTGGAAATAGTTGGAAAACTTTCAATTTACATTTTCATTGGAGAAGCGATAACTAGAGATAAAAGTAACAGCTGAGAATATTTTTTTTATGCTTTATAGAGCTGTTTGCATATAATGGGTGCATTTCTCTGCAAATCTCTTGGCTCATGTGATAGTTTCAGGATAAAATACAAGCTACAGGTTATTTCCCAAAGCTCTGTACACATTATGATCTCCCCTTACTCTCTGTATTATGCACCTAGCCATGCAATTTGTGAATGGCCACCTAAGCTCTATTCAGTCTAAACTGTGTAAACCAGTTTCTTCTCTGGCCTGAAGTTAACTGCATTGCAAAACCTATGCATTGATAGCAGTTATCTGGTTATCTTGTGATAAATCAGTATGAAAGGCAAATGAGGCTCAAATTAAAAATCTTTTTAGAAAAAGAAAAAAGAAAACGAGCCCATGTGTGTGCATGTTTAATTGGTTTGTACTTATTCACCCTGCCCGTGCTTGCTCTACCTTCATTCATCCTGCCCAGAAGTACAACTCAGCTGCCAGGAAAATATGTTAGCAGTAGACTTCCGCTCCCACCCCCCCCGCCATGTTTCCATGAAGGTGCTGAAAACAAACTCTCAAGTTACTATAACTTTTTGAGTCCTTGAACAGTCAACTGAAGTTGCATATTTAAGAAAAACCGTAGAGCTCCTTCATAATTCTGTTCAGCTATTCAGTAATTCACATAGTAAATATCTTCTTTTGGACCAATGCTGCAAAATTTACTTTCATGTTTCAGGAGTGAGTTGCTTTGCCAGCCTTAACAGCTGTTGGAATCTCTGTCTTACAGTGGCAGCTGTTGTCTTGATGAAAAATCAAAGAGTGAAATACTGACCCTTTGAAGTCAGTGCCACTGACTTGAATAGTCACAGTGTCACCCATAACGTCAGAGAAAGGAGCTTTATCCTGTCAGTCACCAGTGCTGTAAATAATTCTGACTCTGCCGGTTTTGTTTGGTTTTAACTCAAAATTTGCAGGGAAGGCATGAAGGTCAGTTTTTGTTCTGCAGCCTAAGCTGCATAACATTACTGATGGTATATATCTTAGAAGAATTAGGCCGAGCCAACTGCATTCCTGAATATATATTCAAACTTGTGAACAAATACTCTGCAGCTATTACAGGCCTGTGTGTATGATGTACACATTAACTTTGATTTATTTAAAAAATTTTCCTGTTAATATGAATTAAGTGTAATGAAAAGATAAAGTTGCTTTGCTTGTCCCTTCTCTGCTGTCTAGTACATTGAGTCCTCATCTTGCCTGATAAATCATAGAATCATTAAGGTTGGAAAAGACCTCTAAGATCGTGAAGTCCAACTGTCAACCCAACACCATCACCCCACTAAACCATGTCCCGAAGTGCCACGTCTACACGTTTTTTGGACACCTCCAGTGATGGTGACTCTACCACTTCTCTGGGCAGCCTATTCAGCCAGCTTGACCACTCTTTCAGTAAAGAAGTTTTTCCTAATATCCAATCTAAACTCCCCTGGCGCAACTTGAGGCCATTTCAGATACTTTCAGAAGTTTCAGGAAGAGTAACAACAATGCCTGCTTTTGAGAAATTATGACAATGTGAAGTACGTGCTTTGAGTTCCATTGCGGCCAGGGGACTTGGAAAATAGATGATGACTGAAATTTTTTATTGTTTTAATGTGTTTTTTTTCAAATTGCAAATGCTTTAGATCTAGCTTGTGATAAACCTTTGATGGAGAGCTTGCAGACTGGCATTTTTCCCTTCAAAGAGTGGCGTAAGAAGTGCTGTCTCTTGAACATAAAGTTGATGAGTTAGTCTGTATCAAACACTGAAACTGAATTACAATCTGAAGCTATTTAAATCCTGTTGTTGTAGCAGCACCATACCATAGCAGCACCATACCTTAGCAGTTATTTGCAACTGCCCAGAGCCTTCCTATAAACAGTTCTTTTCCTACAACGGAAATTTCGTGCCAATTTAGTTGGAAGAGAAATTGGATTTGGCTGGCTTCGTGGGGAGGGGTGAACCTTAAAGGGAATTTTAAAACTTATTTCAAGACATACCATGAAGTTATCTTGTTTTTCTTCTCAGGAATGTCACCAGAGATGGCTGCTGACACTGCCTTAGACTACATGAAGACACGAGTTGGAGGGCTGGGGGGTGTCATTGTTGTTAGCAATTCAGGAGAGTGGGCAGCAAGGTTCTCCACCAAGCAGATGTCCTGGGCCACTGTCAAAGATGACCAGCTGCATTATGGGATCTATGCTGGGGAGAGGCATACAAAATCTGTTGATGAAGCACTTTCAGATGCAAGTGAGGGTTTCTGAGAATGAAAAAAACATCGACTGAGGAAGAATGAAGATCTCCAATTTTTGCTGGAGGACGACAGTTGATTTCATCTTTCTGAAAGATCTGTACTCTTTTGATTGATTCACAGGCAGTGCCACACATAACTCTTCGGTGGTCATGGATATATGTATAGTGTTTATTAATACCTTCGGGAAGTCAGGAGATTCTCCTTTCCTAGATAAGAAAGAGAATGGTCAGTAGGTTTCTTGGTTAGCATACCTTAACCCTACATTAAAGGGAGCGTGAGTTTCAGAAGAACGCCTTTCCATGCCCATTCTCAGAGACTGCTGCCAGGATGGTTTGAGAGATGAATACCTATTAATTAAAAACTGAATTTTGAAAATTGCATTGCTCTCCAGAGTCTTTTGAGCAGTTATCCCATGATAACAAAGGGCTAACTGTCAATGAGAATACCACCAAACAGCAGTGAAGAGTTAAGACTATGTCAGTGTCACAAGCTTGGGGTAGCTGTCAGGGGAAATAATAATGAAATAAAGAAAATAACTTTTCTCCGGAGGTGGGAAAGGTGATGCTTTATTAAGGAGTCTGATTTTATTCCATTCATTGGCATCGAACCTACAATTAAAAAATGGAGACCACAATGAGGTAGGCTACAATATTTCGAAGTATATGTAGGTGGTTAACAGGATGCATAATTGACTTAATATCTGGGATAGTAATAAAGAAGGTCATGATTTCAATAAATAAAACAGCAATCTTTGCTACTCAAATACAAAGGTGATAGGCACTTTTTAAAGTCTAAACATGAGACAGAGAGATGATGATTAATTGGAAAAATAATTCTCTAATATCAAGTGATAAAAGCAAGCTGCACTAAAAGAAATAAAACTGCCTCTTAACAAGCTTCTTGTGTGAAGTCTGAAATGTTTGCTGGAGAGGTTTTTTTTTTTTAAAAAAGAATTAATGTTGTGCATCACCTACAATGCAGTTCCTTAAGATTTTGTATTTTTAAAAGAGCAAAATTTCTTTTTCCTTTTTTCTGACTTAACTACGTATTTTTTTGTGTTAAAACTGTAATAATTTTATGGATTTTAGCTGGTGACTAGATTTCCTCTGCAGACAGATTTGTATGTTATAATTGCATGCCATCATACTGTGGAATGTTCCCTTTACAAGATAACCCAAGTAAACATAGCAAAAATCTTAAATCATCGTTTGAAACTACTCATACCTGTGTCCCAACTACAATAAGCCATGTTACTGAGTTGGCTTATACAGAATGGTGAGGTTGCCAAGGCTGTCTAACCTGCTCTCTACTTTGATCCTCAGTTTATTAGATGTTGCAGATGACTGGATGTAGACAGTGATGGTTCAAGAGTAGATGGCTTATGCAAAACATAACCATGGTGTACTTGTGTAGTTTGTTCCACAGGAGATGATGTAGAAAATGGCTACTGTCTGATCATCAGAAGTTTATGAAAACAGTAACCATATTTAAGATGTGCTTATCTGTAGAGAGAGGTGGTGGTCTTCCAAGTAAGAATTAATTCATTTCCCCTTCTGTGCATGAGATACCAAACTTACAGGGCCACACTGTTCTCTGTGGGGAAAAAAAGCAGTATTGTCTTAGCTTCATATCCAGAATATCAAGGCAATCCAGATTTTTGTGGTCAAGGTTCTCCTTTATTTACCTCACCTGTCCCTAGTACAAGGTCAAGTTCAAGACAGGCAATGAAAAATATGATCTCTGCAAGTTCTGCCAAACTTCACTTTGCAACATTTTTTTTCATTAAATTGCTTGGTGATTTTTTTAATGAAAAAGAATCAAACTTGAAGGATTTTTTTTTTTTTTTTTTAAGAGCTAAATGGTGATACCTAGGCGTGGATGTAGGCTGTAGATAAGAGAGGAAGAATACAAATATATTGTCTGACACCCGCTTTGTTAGATTACAGAGTCTGTAGAGGGCATGTTCCTAGTCTTGTAACCATTCCTTTGCTTGAAGTAGCTGGAGGGAGGCGCATTTAGCCCAATATTACCTCAACACCTGGTGTATCATCTTTGATAAGCTCTGGTTCTGTTAAGTTTTCTGAGTGGATACAAGCCTGTTATGGTCACATTCCACGATGACCAAAACCCAAGTTATGGTTAGCGTAGCAGCAACCAGAAGCTAATATGTACCCGCTGGGTGGTGTATTGGCTAGGGTTTGGCACTACGCTAACCTGGACAGTTGGCTTCTGGTTAGCTTTGAACAAGTTCACATCTGCCCAGAAGGTACCATCAACCACAGCAGCAGTACAGATAGGATCTCAAGGCTGTCAGAAGGAATAGTAAGTGGTTACTGTGGTTAATTTGCTTCAGCTGGTCTCAGGAATATAATGTAATAAATTGCTGGCACTTAAAAAAGAGCATTATCCTATATAGGTTCTTCTGTTGCTCATCACCAGACTAGCTGGGCATCTTCCAACAGTGCATTAAGCAGTGTGACTACCATCTGGTCTGTGTGATTTGTTCTGTCTCGCCCGCTCCTTGGTAGCGTGCTCTATATTCCTGTCTTGTGAAAAAGTAGCTGGTTTTCAAAAATGTGCGTGTGCTGTTACACCTTTCCAGTTGAAGCAGAGCTGAGAATGAGAAACTGTGCCTTTCATATGGATTGATGATGCTTGGATTGATGACATTTGATAATCCTAAGCCTAAATGGAGTTTGCTTCGCAATTCAAATGATGGCAGTTCAGGCAAAGCGCTGGTACCAGCGGTCAGGGCTACGTGCTTTTCTTCCAGCTAGCTGACCGAGTCAACGCCCCTCAGAAACTACGCAGTTTCTTCACTTAATCTGGGCAGCAGGTAGACCTCTTCTAGGACAGTGTTCCCCTTTCTCCTAAGAAGGTAGGATGATAGCAAATGGTCAGGGATGGGTGTCATGGTTTAACCCCCGCTGGCAACTAAGCCCCATGCAGCTGCTCGCTTACTCCCTCCTCGTGGGATGGGAGAGAGAATCAGAAGAGTTAAAAGTGAGAAAACTCGTGAGTTGAGATAAGACAGTTTAACAGGTAAAGCAAAAGCCGCACACGCAAGCAAAGCAGAACAAGGAATTCATTCACCCCTCCCCATGGGCAGGCGGGTCTTCAGCCATCTCCAGGGAAGCAGGGCTCCGTCACGCGTAATGGGTACTTGGGAAGACAGATGCCATCACTCTGAACGTCCCCTCCTACCCCTTTCCTTTTTCTTTGTCCCAGCTTTATATACCGTGCATGATGTCATATGGTATGGAACATCCCTTTGGCCAGCCTGGGTCAGCTGTCCTGGCTGTGTCCCCTCCCAGCTTCCCGGGCACCCCCAGCCTGTTCACTGGCAGGCCAGCATGAGAAGCTGGACTGTCCTTGATTGTTTAGCAACAACTGAAAACATCAGCACATTATCAACATTTTTTCATCCCAAATCCAAAACAGCCTCACACGGGCTTCTGTGATGAAAATTAACTCTATCCCAGCTGAAACCAGAAGGGGTTAGGGGTAGGCCTAACTTTGAAAGAAACTGGAGAAGAGCTGGGGATGAAACAGTTGTTTTCCCTCTGTCTCTCTTTACCCTTTCAGTCATGTTCTTCAGCTATAACAGGAGAAGACGCTGTTGCTGCTGATGTAAGAAGTTGCTGGTGTTGCACAGGGCTACCTAAGTTTTTAATATGCTCACATGTCCCCTCACTTTTGAGAATATTGAGAAATTACCCTTTATGAGGGATTTTACAGCTTTTATAATTATAAATATGGTTGAAAGATGATGAAGTTCAGGAGGATACTGACAGGACGGAAGTTGTATGCCACTGCCCTACGCTGCTGCTGGAAAAGAGCCTCTCATCCAAATGGCTGTGACCTGGATATCAAAGAAGGAAAATTCGGCGTCAGTTGCCAAGAAACTGAGTGTCCTTGGCATGTAGCAAAGCAGCAACAGAGTTTTAATTATCTAATTAAAGTGTGTCATCCCGTTATTTTATATCATTTAGAAAGCCAGTTGTGGATGTTGTCCTGTCTCTTTCCTACTACTCTGTAGCACGGACCCCTGACCTGAGCAGGTAGCCGTGATGGGTGTACATCTGGAAGCCAAGATGTTAACAAAAGCAGCAGAGTCATCGACTTTGCTCATGTACTGTTAGTCCTGTGCAGGTTTCCCTTCTGAAGCTTTGCAAGTTATAAGTAATTCAAAATTGTTCTGTGGGAGATGTAGGACATCAGTGTTTGGAAATTGGGGGTTATTTTTTTTCGGTGTTCTACTTTGTCCTACATTTTAGCTCTGTGTCTCTGGGGTGGTTTTCATTGACTTTGAAATCTATCTTGGCAAAGTTTAACGGCACTTGCTGTTTTGCTTGTTTCTCTTCTGGTCTGCTTTTCCTTTGATATGCTCTGATAAATATTTGCTGTGGGACAGATTTCAATCTTGGTTACGTCAGTATCAATGAAAAGCACAGTCACTGAAGTCCGTGATTACGCTAGAGGAAGGGAAGTCAGACGTGGGCTCGCCTGTCCCAAGCCGGTAGCCTGTGAGTGTTCAAACAGCCTTTGCTAACGAGGGAGAGAAAAGAGAGGGGACGGAGAGAAAAGAGAGGGGACGGAGAGCTTGCTGCCGCGGGGAGCCACTGCCTGAGACAGGACTCTGGCCTCCGGCAGTGTCAAGGTGAAGATGATGCCCAGGGAAATAGTTAAATATGCACACTGGGAAATAAGTGCCAAATGATTCACATAAAAGAATCTTGAGATCACACAGATAGGGCGAGCAAAGAGTCATTTTGTTGTAGACATGTAAACCACAAAGGAGGGGAATCTCATTTTCCTTTCCACTGCACTCCTTACGCTCGGTTAATTGGGGGCACATAGATACCCCACAACCTTTGTGTAAATGAGCTTTGCCAGACCTGGTCACATGTCCTTTAACTTCAATTATTTTTAGCATCCTTGCCTTTAAAATTCTTCCTGGTTGGAGTGAGACTTGTTTTCTTGCAGTTCCTCCCCAAGTCCTTTTCCGCCGAGGACAGGATGGGTTACGACGCAGTCTGCGTGGGCTTTCGCCCTCCGGCCCTGCACTTTTGACCCTTTACTGCTAGGGCTTTACCACAACAGAAGCTATGTAAATGCATGGT